AAACGCAACATCTTTCTCCGACAAACCGACCAAATGGAGCGAGGCTGCCACAACCTTCAATGGCTTGAAATCGCTCGTGTCATAGATTCCTTCGGCCACCTGCTTTTCAGTCAGCCACGATTCGCCCTTTTTCGCAAGATATAGCTCTAATTTGTCCGCAGCAAAATCATACTTCTTCTTCTTCTTGATGGCCTTCTTTAAGTGGTCCACCGACTGGCTAGTGTCAATATCCACAGGGAATGCATTCTCTTTCACACCGACAATCGCGCAATAAAGCGTCACCATGTTTCTCTTGCTGATGCCTTTTTTAACTGTGGAGTAGCTTTTGCCAGATCTCGCATCTTAGTCAATCAAATGCAACAACATCAATCAATTACATAATTATTGACTTGTTTGATGGGTTGACTAAGTGATATATTGGTCAATATTCAAAACATCTTTTTGCAGTTATCCAATATAATTAAGTGAAGGTTATGTATCCAAAATTTAAGAGCCTAATAGATAGAGAATAGAAACATAGAGTTTGTCAGACAGGTGGAACAAGTCCACGCATATATGACTCCTATGTCACCATAGCACTTGTACCCTCATACAAAAGCGCATCAAATAGAAATATTCAACATGAAACTCATTTCTCGGTGTGATCATTTGCCTTGTGTATGAAACACTGCTACACATCATGCGAACCAACGTAGACCATCTCTTACTAGTGAACACGAACATCAGTGATAAAAAGCTCACGTGGACAAAATGGTTTGGCCAACAAGACCCAACGACGTTCAGTGCTACTGGAATCACAGCTTCGTACCAAATAGTGTTACAAACACGTAAAAATATAAATCAATTAGTTATTAGCATCAGTTTGCGACAGCTCTGCTGCAAGTGCTGCGTAGAGAGCTACATTGACAAGTTCGAGAGCAAGTCACAATGTCGTAGTATAATCGAGAGTTCAATCCCATTTGCGACTCTCAAGTTCTCTCACTCGCACACTTTAAATCTGCTTGTTAGTGGGTGACTTAGTATTTGAAAATCCTTTTGTTTTAAGTAAAGCTTTGCGAACTCGAGGCACCACTTTGTCAACAATCAAGTCGATGACAGAATCTGGATCGTCAATCTTGTAATTCTTTAATACGTCGTATATCACCTCACGTGCATTCACGTTCTCATTCATCTTGGCTTCGAACACCACGAAGGATACCCAAATGCTCAGTAATGGATTTTCAGCAATATCTGGAAATATTTCAAGACGAGAAAAGATGTCACTTGCTGTTTTAGATTCACCGACCCAACGCCATATAAGTTCGTTTTCAAAAGCAGATACAACTTCTTTCATATCGTCGTTCTTCTCCAGATTGACTAGCAACTGTGCTAAATCGATATCATACAAACGGCTCGACAACCATGAAAATATTCGTGAGTATAAATCTGTGTTTCCTGTCCTTATAAACCATACTGTCGAATCGAAATATTGATTCATTAACGCAGTGAGAAAATCATTATGGTGATACTTGGGTATATATTTGAGCAATTCGATCACCGTCGATTGAAGGAGCGTCCATTTTTCCAGATCTTCCTCCTTCATCAATGCAGAAGATGCTTGAACATCAAGCAAAGCGTTTATTCGCATCTCTATCATACTATCCTTAGTTAGGAGCAGCGTTAGCTCAGAAAGCAGCATTATGTCCCACGAGTCCTTCATTTCAAGCCAGTAGACTTTAACGAGCCACATTCTAAACAACCGATTCGACAACAGATTGGTCGTGAGACCGTCGGCGCCTGTCATAGATCGGTACTGAAGATAAACCTCGAAAATCTTAAAGGCTTCTGCAAGATTCTCGTTTTGTGTAGTGGATTGAACTTCATCGAAAAACTTGACCAGTTGAACATCAGTATAGTGACCTTCAAGCACTGAGTACATTGCATCTCGTGCACCAACTAGATCCTTCTTAAGCACTGTACAAACAATGTGGGACCATTCTCGATACTGCTTGCTCTCAAAAAGATTCTTCGTCACTTTATCAACTTGAACTTTCTTAAACAAAGTACCAACAGCTTTCCGCTTATTGCTGGCGAATCTTAGGTAAAGTTTCCGAATAGGTCTCTTGATAAAACGTGCGATAGGCTCACAGAGATTACAAATTTTCTTCATCAAAAGTTGAAGCTGCCCCAGAGAACTTGCGGCCGTTTCAGAGACAGTTGTAAGCTCCAAACTATTTGTTCGTTCTTCCGAGTGACCACGTTCGTTTGTTACATTCATCAATGAATTCGTCACCAGGTGTCGATGGACTTGAGTACCCACACCGTCAAACACTTCGGTGGTTGTTTCATAGTGTGCTACCAGCGCATAAAGTGACAGGACCACACAACAGCTAAGACACGCCACAACCATGTGCTTGGAATTCATGATTTATGGAGGGAGGGAATAGTTGATTTTTTATGTGCTGGACACCCATTTAGGATTTTATCGTCATAAAGAGTTTGGACCTAGGATACTGACTATACAGTGATAGAAGCTTGGAGCCATTAAAAAACATATGTGTGAACCTGATACCACGCAAACCAATCGACCGCGGGACGGAGACCTAAATCGTCGGAATTCTAGCCAATAAGCTATTCGAGATTTTGTTACCGTAGGATTGCACCGGGAAACTGAGACCAGACAGTGCACGACTATAAATGGCGCAAATCGTAATTAAGTGGATAGCAATCTCGAAAGTAAGCCAAGTCGCGTTGCTGGACTTCTGTACTGTACCTCCTCTTTCATATGACCAACGACCCAAGGTGGTGGTGCTGCTATGTGTTTTGCAAAGACTTGAACCCACCACTTTAATCACGTAAAAAACATAATTTGAGACATTTCGACTATTACTTTCTGCTAAAACTCCTTGATATGTCAAATTTTCCGTGTCGAACAAGATATTGACAAGGTTAAAGCCTGCAAAAATTTGCCACGTCTCCTAGCATGACTCCTTGTACAGTATTAAATGGCAGAACAATTCGTGAAAATTGAGTACACGACCTAGGACAGATAGACCGAAAAACGTAAGGTAGGTGTAATACTCAATAGTAGAAATTTCTTTAAATTTCTTACATGTCAAGTTATATTCGAAAAGAGCAAGCGACATAATCTGGTTAACTTTCCAGGAGGTGAATGCTTGTGTCATCAGGCTTCAGTGACGAATTAGAAGACACGAAGTAGAACGAAAGCAGCGGAAATACCTGATTTCGTCTTGCGTCAACTCCACATTCATTCGCAATAAATCGAGAAACGTCGGTAGGCACAAAGCTTTACAGAAAAGAAAACTATATGACGTTCGTCCTTTGCGTTCACATACTTGGCAGCAGCCAAGTATGTAAACATATTAGCACGCTGAAGGCTTCGCAATATTGTCACCGATGGTGACGACGGGTTTTCCGTATTACCTCGACTCTCTTTTTAAAATACTAAACAATGACCAAAGAAGTGTGGAGTGTGTGTATCTTGGTCGGCTTTTGAGTAGAATTTCGAGGCAATTCTACTCGTTGAATTTCTTTTTTGTACAAGGTGCGTGACAAAATCGTTGCAACCCGACGACTCAGTTTCGAAAAAGTCTGTACCTCCGTGAGGATGAAACACTCAAATGTTTTCCTGTCTCAACAAGGCACGCTAAATTATATATGGTATTTTATTGTCCACGAAAGGGTAGCGCTGCCGCGTCCCTAAAGCTATTGATGAGACAACTATAAAGTTTAAACAGACAGCTATCAGCAATCTGACGTGGCCCACTATTCTTGGCTTGGATCTTAAGCAATCCATCTAATTTTGCGGTGGGAAGACTCACATCTTTTATCGCTTGACAAAATGGGAAATTTGACATTGTCGAAAGTCTACACATTAAATCCCGTTCTAGAGCGCAAACTTTATGTAAGAAACCGCTAGTGCGACTGACTATTATTATGTTTGGAGCCGTATCCATGGCATGACCAGCTCGAGATCTCGCGTCCAGAGGAGAGGACTTGCTCCATAATGACCTCAGTGATACTTGACCGGCATTTAAGCTGGCTTGGAAACGGTTATATTTACCGTATTGATATTTATCTTTCGCAAAACTTAAACTGTTTGACGAAGCATAAGAAGCAGCGGACTAGTTTTGATTCACAAGTTTTGGTACGGGTGCGAGGTGCGGGCATTGCAGCAGGATCGCCGTTGCAGGAAGATTTTAACTCGATTTTCGTTAATATATGCACAAGGACTAGCTAAATGGGCATCCTTTAAACGACTGAATACTTGAATTTTGACTGGATCATATTTCATCCTCATCACGTGTCACCCTCGCTTAGGACACTAGTCCAAGGGGTCACACGAAACACATTTTAGCGTAAGCTTTACGGGCACATTTCTTTGTTGCAAAATTTGTGGTGAGATATCATTTAAGCAAAATTTACGCCTCGAATGAGTAAAGTTTGGATTTTTATTAAAGAACCGTGTCACAACCAATTGATCTCGCTAAAGACGTATCATACCTCGAGACTTATTTGGAACACAGATCCGCCAAGAAGTACTGAACGTCTGACCGGTAGATTAGAAGCCATATTTGGTAGGTAAGATGTTTCAGACAAGTAACTTACCGAGTTCTGAATTTCCACATCAACCTCCTTAACGTATATACTCCGTCCTTTAGTTCAATCCCTTCAAGCTTAGGAATCCCCAATGCACACGCTCGCCTTCCCGTGAGCTGGGTGCAGTGTCAATATGCGCTCTATTACCAACTACGGGTCTGACGGAAAGGTTGATGTAATATAAGCTCATTTTAAGAGCAAAAATCTCTTCGTGAAGGTCAAAGAGTGCATCTTGTAATAGGTACCGGCAGCTTTAGTTGCTACTTTCAACAAGGAGCTATAGTACTGCGGAAACATGACAGAACCTAAAGCTACAATAATCAAATTGAGGATTGTGTGAGAAGAGCTAATACCATTGCTGTATAAGCAAGATTAGATAAACAGATGTATTGACAGAATGCTTGCTTAACGTTTCCCTTTGCAGAAATCAATGTCGACGTTGAGGTGGACACTCGCACTCGCACTTTAACTCATACGAAAATTGCCACGATCATACCCTTCCTTATCTTATATACTTACCAGTCAAATTATTGAACTGAACAATCCTTTGTAGCTTTAGATTCAGCTATCCAAGAGAAATTGAACGGAGATTTGCCAACACGAGGTAGTGTAGCTCAACTTCCAGTCTTTATATGAGTGGTTGCAGCCACATGATTACATCAAATACTTTGATCATGCAGTGTTTATGTAACGTAATTACATATGAAAGGGTCAATTTTTCATTTTCAAAATATCTTTTTGCATTGGGGAGCCGTAATATTACACAACAGAAGATGTATTGTATTAGGAATGAATTAGCATAA